GATTTCACTGAATCTATAGATGACTTTGGGTACTATGGATGTTATAATATTCCTGCAATCCGAGAAGACAATTTATTTCATCAGTGTTTTGTAGTTTTCAGTAGAGATCTTTCACTTCTTCAGTTGAATTTATTCCTATCTTACTGTTTTTGGTGCTGTTGTAAATGGGGGTCATTTTATTAGTTTTGCAGATAATTTTTTAGTGTATGGAAATGTCACTTATTTTTGTATGTTAACTTTGTATCCTACAACTCTACTGAATTTGTTCATTAGCTCTAACACTTTCTGGAGTCCTGAAGTTTTTCTATATGTAAAATCATCTGCAAATAGAGACAGAGTCACTTCTTCCTCTCTTTATGTGATGCCTTTTATTTCTTTTTCTTGCCTGACTGCTGTAGCTAGGACTTCCAGTACTGTGTTGAATAGGAGTTGTGAGTGGGCACCCTGGTCTTGTTCCTATTCTCAGAGGAAAAGTTCTCAACTTTTCACCACTGATGTTAACTGTGGACTTGTCATGTTGCCGTTATTATGTAGAGGTACATTTCTTATATACCTAATTTGTTAAATTTTTACCACGAACAGATGTCAAATTTTGTAAAAATGCTTTTTCTGCTTCTATTGTGATAATCGTATGATTTTATTAACGTGACGTAGAACATTGACTATATATTTTGTTTCTTCTTGATTCAGTCTTACAGGTTTCTAATAACTTCCATTACTTCTAGGTTGTCCAGTTTGTCATATAGCATCTTATGGTTGTTCCAGTTCATAGTAGTATCTTATGGTCCTTTGCCTTTTTATTGGGGATCAGTTGTAATGTCTCCTTTTTTAATCATAATTTTGATTTGGATCATCTCTCTTTTTGCCTTGGTTAGTCTAGCTAAAGTTTTGTCAATTTTGTTTCTTTTCAAAGAACCAAGTCTTAGTTTTGTTAATCTTCTGTTGTTTTCCTGCTCTTATTTCTGCTCTAATCTTTATTATTTCCTTCCTTCTGTTAACTTTGGACTTAGTTTGTTCTTTTCCTACTTTCTTAAAGAGTAGGTTATATGGGGCGCCTGGGTGGCGCAGTCGGTTAAGCCTCTGACTTCAGCCAGGTCACGATCTCGCGGTCCGTGAGTTCGAGCCCCGCGTCGGGCTCTGGGCTGATGGCTCGGAGCTTGGAGCCTGTTTCCGATGCTGTGTCTCCCTCTCTCTCTGCCCCTCCCCCGTTCATGCTCTGTTTCTCTCTGTCCCAAAAATAAATAAAAAACGTTGAAAAAAAAAATTAAAAAAAAAAAAAGAGTAGGTTATCAGATCTTTCTTGATTCTTAATGTAGGCATTTATTACTCTGAACTTCCCTCTTAAAACTGTTGTTGCTGCATTCTATAAGTTTTGATGTGTTGTATTTCATTTTGGTCTCAAGATACTTTGTTTTCCTTTTATTCATTCTTTGATCCATTGGTTGCTCAGGAAAAATGTTAACTTCCATTTATTTGTGAATTTCCCAGTTTTCCTAGAATTGATTTCTAGTTTCATGCCATTGTAGTTATGGTTACTTTTATTACCTTTTTTAACGTTTTTTTAAGTTTATTTTGAGAGAGGTTGAGAGATCACAAGCGGGGGAGGGTCAGAGAGAGGGAGAAAGAGAATCCCAAGGAGGATCCATGTTGTCAGCACAGAGCTGGATGCAGGCCTCTATCTCACAAACCATGAGATCATAACCTGAGCTGAAATCAAGAGTCAGACACTTAACCGACTAAGCCACCCAGGTGCCCCTGAAGTTTTTAAACTTTTAAAAGTACATAATGCACAACCATTATCATATTACAAACTCTAATTTTGACTATATGTTTACTATTACCAGTGAGTTTTAGGCTACCTTAAGTATTTATGATGTTAACTAGCATCCTTTTACTTTCAAAGAATTCCCGTTAGCATTTCTTACAAGGAAGGTCTAGTAAGATTATGAGCTACTTCGGTTTTCGTTTGTTTTTTCTCTCTTTCATTTCTAAAGGACAGTTTTGCCAACTATAGAATTCTTGACAGTTTTTTCCTTTAATATTTTGAATATATCATCCTATTCTCTCCTGGCCTGAAAATTTTTTGTTGAGAAGTGCATTCATAGTTATATATAATTTTTCTTTTGCTTATTTCAACATTAGACTCATGACAATATAGTGTGTCTCAATATAGTGTGTCTCAGCTTCATGGATCTCAATGTCCATTTCTCTCTCCAAGTTTGAGAAACTTTCAGCTATTACTGCCCTAAATATATTTTCTGTCCCATTCTTTTTCTCTTCTCAAATTCCCATAATGCAATTCATTTTAGCATGTCCTATATAAGTCCCATCTACCTTCTTCACTTTTTCATTCTTTTCTCCTTCGCTCCTCTGACTACAGAATTTTAAATCCCCTGTTTTCTAGGTCACAGATTCTTTCTTCTACATGGTCGAGTCTGATTTTCAGGTTCTCTATTGAATTCTTCAGTTCAGACGTTGTATTTTTCAGCTCTAGGATTTCTTTTTCTGCACCACCACCCCCCATTTTTCTTTGTTGAATTTCTTTTTGTTCATGCATTATTTTGCTAATTTTATTTAGTTGTCTGTGCATTCTTGTAATTCACTAAACTTTTTTAAAGAATTCTGAATTGTTTGTAGAACAGTTTACAGATCTCCATGTCTTTTAAAAATTTTAATGTTGTCTTTTTGAGAGAGAGCACACGTGCATGCACAGGTGGGGGAGGGGCAGAGTGGGAGGGAGACACAGAATATGAAGCAGGCTCCAGGCTCTGCACTGTCGGCACAAAGCCTGGTATGCGGCTCGAACTCACGAACCACGAGATCATGACCTAAGCCAAAGTCAGATCTTTAACCAAGTGAGCCACCCAGGTGCCCCTCGCAGATCTCTATTTTAGGGTCAGTTACCAGAACTTTATTAGTTTCCTTTGGCATGGTCATGTCTACCTGATTCTTTTGTGATTCCTAATTTCTGATGCTGCTATCTCAACATTTGAAGAAGTGGTCTACTCTTCCATACTTCATAGGTTTGCTTTAACCAAGAGTTCTTCACCAGGCAGCTCAGTTTGGGTTTCTGGACATGTCTACTAGTAACATTCTTGGGCAGATGAAGGTTGCTTTTAAGGCCGTCTGTTTTTGGGCAGGGCAAGCTCTGAGGTTGGGGTGGGGCAAGGGGTGGGGTGTGCTGCTAGCTGGGAATAGTTGAATAGGACTGCTGAGTTGGTTCTCTGCCCAAGCAAGGCTTTAGGATGGGCTCTGCAGGTGCCTGGGTTTTCTAGTCAGGCTTACTAGTAGGTGGGGCTATGAAGTCACTTCCCTGAACTGACAGAGCAGCAGGACAGGCCATAAGGCCTGCACAGGTTGTTTGGGGACTCAAGTCAGACAAGATTGTGCATGGAGTTTCCTGGCCAGGTGGGGCCACCAGTTTTGCAGTGCAGACAGGGATAGTACCAGGTTGTGCTTTCTCTTCAAGTGCCACTATAACAAGGTCTTTGGATGGGCTACACAGCTTTCCTGTGTGATCTGGCTAGGTTTCCTGGTCAGATGGGCTGAAGGCTCTATTCAGCAATGGCTAGGGCTATGAATCACTTTCCCTGTTCATGGAGAGCATGAGAACCAGCTCCAAGGCCTAAAGTTTTGTGGCTGACTCAAGCTGACCTGCACCCCAAGGTCCCTGGCTATACAGGGCCACGGTTTTTGCTTTGCAGATAACCAGCTCTACCTGCTATACCTCTCCAGGTGGTCTGTCCAGGCTTTGGTCAGGCAGGGCCAGGAGCAACACTCATGTGTGGGCCAGGTTATGCCTCAGCTCCCCTGCCTGAGTTGAAGCACACCAGACTTCCAGCGGTGACAAGTCTCTTTAAGAACCACTCAGGCACCCTGCTGAGTTCCCTGGTCAGACCGCACCTCTGTTTTGGCTCTGCAGATGAGCAAAATTAAAGATTGGGACTACTACTTGGACACTGCAGGTAGGAACTTGGTCTGCAAAGACCCACATACTGGTTGTTGCAAGCCCCTACCTTCCCCATCACAGACTCCCAGTGGCCAAGTCCCACAGATTCCCTGGCAATCCCCATGGGATGAGACCAGAGTGGGGGCTCCCAAGAAGTGACCTACAATGCTGGGGGTGCTGGATTCCACCCTGGGTTCCTTTTTCCCATTTGAGGAACCATAGGCTAAAGTCATTTTGGTGTGGTGTTACACCAGCCTGATGGAGGGGCAGTGCAGTCTGCATGTAGCTGTTCCTCATATACCATTGTAGTCTGTCTTGGCCCCTGTGGTGCATGGTCTCTCCCATGTTCTAGGACTTTCTCAGTGGTGTCTTATCCATGAATAGTTGTTAGTTGTTTTGGTAAAGGGAATAAGGAACAACCTATGTTGTCATCCTGGTGTGATGTGCCATCTACTCAGCCCTGTCTACTTGATGGATTTTCACCTTAATCGTGAGGAATGTGCCTGACATGGCTCTGAACAAATGTTGGCTCCTTCCAGTGTAGCCTAGCCTTCCATCCTTCTTCACAAAATACACAATGCTTCGTACACCTCTCATTACTTTCCTGGCACAAATGTCCATATCTCCACTTACGCCAGTTCTGCCTAGAGTACCCTTCTCTGCCCAGTAAGCTCCTATGCATCCTTTAAAGCCCAGCACAAGTATCAGCCTTATAAGGCCTTACCAGACCACCAGGAATTATCAGTCTCACATGATCTCATGCAATCTAGCTCCTCAGTTTTACATAGTACTTCTCATTTATTTACACATTAGCCCAACCCACCCTGAGGGCAGATTCATCTGATTCCTAGTTCAGGAACTGTTTGATTTAAAAAAATAATGATTTTTTTTTTTTCAACATTAAACCTACTGCCACTGTAAATTAGGAATGGGAGCTTAAATGAATCTCCCAGTTCAGCAAACTATACCTATAGCTTCTAGGAACCCTAAGGAAACTTTCTTTTCTCAGTACTGTGATCTTAAAGTCTCTCCTCTCTTCTGACCTCACCAGCTACCAGCTTAGGAAGCACCTGTCCCACCTTCTGCACATGAAGCAGCTTGGAACCAGAGATGTGGACAGATGGAACCGAGAGTGCCTGGCATTGCTGCTCCAAGTTTGGAGGAAAGAACTGGAACTAACCCCCCCAAAGACCACTGCAGTAAGCAGGACCACGAAGAGTCCATCCAAGGGCAGCTCAGGCACAAAGTCCACCAGACACTTAGTACTCAAGCAGATCTATGGTAAATGTCCTTCTGGGCACGTTGTAGTTGACAACAAGCACCCCCAGAGTGTTGCATCAGAATCTGAAATGGGATTTAATTACACTGGGCAAACCTCCATTCAGATAGGAACTTTACTTCCAAGAACCAAGAGAATTTTCAACACACATTTAATGCCTCCCCTCCAGCAATTCTAGCTCGGAACTGGTTTGATGATGCATTCTGGCATCTCAATCAAGAGGTCTTCTGCTGGCCTTCATTACCCTTTAAACCCCTCCAGACCACTGCTTGGGTCCTCCCCTTATATTACCCATTTGGAGGGCTCCAGAAGCAGGAACACCTTGCCTGCCTCACTTTGACCTTCCTTATGCTAAAATAGTACAGGGCTGCCCATCTGTGGGAATGCCCCAGACCCACGCACAATAGTAAATACTTGCTCAGCAGATGAATTGCTTTAAATTGGGACATTTTCAGCTCTGGAAAGAACCCATTCAAATAAACTCAGCAGAGAAGAGGCCTAGATAGCTCCCCAGAAGAAAAAAGTTGAGCCAAGGCACTTGAGAAATAGATCTGCAGCCCAGGCAGCAAAATCTCAGGACTTTACTCTGGGCCTACATGGTATTTCCACACCATACCTAATTTCTCTTGGCAGATATCAACAAGCTCAAGCCTTTACCTCAAAAAGTTACTTAGAACTTGGTGAGGCCACAGCTAACCTTGGTCAGAGAGGAATAGTCACTGTTGGTTGATTTCAGGTTGTTCTCAAGAAGGGAAAGTTCCTCATCCCACAAGATCTTCCAAAGCCCATCCTGTGCTGCATCTCAATTCAGGTAAGGTAGCCACTGCACTGGCAAAGCAGATTGGGAAGACAATGTGGGGAAGCATTTGCCTTTTTTGTTTCATCCTCAAAGATGGAAGACATGAGGACAGAGATTGCTAGGAATTTCCAATGGTCATTTCCTTTGAGGTGTACATGTTTTTCATTCCCCTTTCGTGGAATTATTACTGCAATCAACATGCCTCCCTAACAGGCAAGTTATTTTCACAACCACAAGTTATTGTTAACATTACCTCCAGTAGAGACAATAAATGGTACTTTTACATACTTGTTCACATGAAGGGGGGAAAATGAAAATACTGTCATTCTTCAAAGTAATACCTTGGGAATTCTTGTTCTGTATTGATTTCACATTAAGATTCTTCATCTCCTTCCCAAACTTGAGAGGTTCCTTAACCACAAATTCTGGCCTTTGCCTTTCACGGCCCATGAAGGGGACATGTAATATCTAATAACACGTCCTGCTCAGGCTTCACCGTGCACAATTTCACTCATGCTCATGGAACTTTCTTTTCAGCCGCAAGACAAGAGTATTTTACTCTGGGCCCCCTTCATTCACACCAGCATTAAATCTGGGTGATAAGTTCAGTGCTGTCAGCAGTTAATGCCAGATCCAGTGTTGTTCATGGGTGGCTATGGCAACACGCTCCCCCCACCCCACCCTTGCTGATCCAGTCATCCTGCAGGAATAGAGTGCAGCTGGAAGGTGAACAATGACTGTCAGCGTGAACTTTAACATTCATTTAGTTTTTGATTGGGTGGGGGGGGGGGGGGGGGGGGGGGGGGAGAACCTGGAGGTAGGGGGCAGTGTAATTACTGCCCAATCTTTAATATGGGTTGGGCAACTCATGTAATATAGGCAGGCTGATCAGGGAGTAGTGGATAGGGTAGTTACAACTGTGGGCCTTATTTCCTTTGAAACTTTCCATGTTTAAAAAAAAAAAAAGCTTTTGTTCTACTTGAATGAATTGAAAATTAGTTTCAAAAACAATGGTCAGACAGAACTACCAGAAAAGTAGCATTTAAATAAAACATTTTTTTTTTACTTAGTCCTGGATTTTTCTCTTGAGACCATCAGAAATCATAAAAATGAGGTGTTTAGAAACACAAAAGGTTTTTAGTCAAAGGGTTCACAGTTAAGGGACGAATAAACAAACTCAAATATACTTAGTGGTTTTTTGGGATTTCACATGAACAAGTAGCTTGTTTGTCCTACACATGTAATTCTAAGTGGCTTGAAAACAGACAAGGTCTTAAGAGAATCTTTTCCTAACCCTAAATGGGGGAACACAAGGTTTTGTTAAGTCTACACATGTACATTAAGGCACTATCCAGTGAGCTGATTATCAGAGCTGCTAATTAGTGTAGCTGGAGCCCATATATGTTTCATACAGAAAGCATCTATAAATAGTTTCCATGGAAATGGGCATCTGTGATTCCACATTGCAGAAATTTCTGTGTGTCAGTTGTGCCCAACTGAACCAAAAAGAGAACATTAATTTTGGTCTTCTCCATGAATAAAAATGTTAGTTCATTTTTTTTGCTTTGAGAATTCCATGGGGTTAAGGATCTTCTGATTTGCTCACTGTCTATTCACTTTTAGGAAATTATTTGGCACACAGTAGGTGCTCAAATACTTAAGCAAGGATTGTTGCTCCCAACTTCCAGCATAGGAGAGGCTTTAGTAGTGCCTTTACCTCTTTAAAGAGGAAGCAGAAAGTGAGCTGGATATAGCAAAGTATATAGCCTCCTTGGCCTGTGTTTCTCTACATGCATTTGGGAGACTCCACAATCCCTGTTTTCTCTAGTCCTTCAACAGCAACCCCCGTATACCACCCACAAAATAGCAGCATAGTATTGGTCAGAGAGCATATACATAGAACTTATATATGTATATAAATATATAACCTCCAGGGTGCACCTGGGTGGCTCAGTCAGTTAAGCATCTGACTCTGGATTTTGGCTCAGGTCATGATCTCATGGTAGTGAGATCAAGCCCTGTGTTAAGCTCTGTGATGAGCATGGAAGCCTGCTTGAGATTTATTCATTCTCTACCCCCACCCCACCCCCCCCAACCACTCCCTTCTGCCTCTCTCCCTTGCTTGGGCTCACACTCCTAAATTTGGGAGCCCTTCTTTTTAAATATAAAAGAACTACCTTTAAAAAGCCCATTCCAATGAATGGAATAACCATGGCTCAAGTGATTACTACTAATGATAACCCCTTTGTATGAATGCAGAATATTCCTGCCCATCTACAGATGGGTATACAGATAACTCAAGACTTGATACAGTAAAGGCAGCCAAAACAGAATTCAGTATCAGTAGTTCACTTTAAATCATAATAATAGAGCTCTGGGTGGCGATGGCTGTTATCCGGACTCTTTGTAGGTCACAATCTCAAGGGTCCGGAGTTCGAGTTCCCTGCTGGCCAGGGTCTGGGCTGATGCCGGAGAGCCTGGAGCCTGTTCCTCATTCTGTGTCTCCTCTCTCTCTGCCCCTCCCCTGTCATGCTCTTGCCCTCCTCTCAAGTCCCAAAAAATAAATAAACGTTGAAAAAAATAAATAAATAAATAAATAACCATAATAAAACCAGGAGAGAAAAAGACATGTTTGTAACTTTCTGAAACTATTCACCTTTCATGTTTGCTCCTTTGCTCCACAGAGAGAGGAAAAACAGAACAATTTGGCCTCAGCAAGAGGGTTGAATACATCACTGTTTTCCAACTGTGACATCTTAAAAGTTTTCATCCTATAAGTAACTTCAAAGTCATAAAAAGGCCTAAAAATACCCATTTCAAGGTTGATATGCCTATCAGTCTGTCATCCTTGAAGATAGTAAATTTTCAAATGAAATGGCTTTCTAGAATGTACTATATAGCCTAGTGTGTGGTACATGGCAAGTTGAGAAATACGTGTGTATATGTGTTTGTGTTATGTATGACCTACATAAAGAAAGCTATACCAGTTATTCTAGACAGACTGAAGACCTAGGTCCCAGTCCCAGCTCAAGTACCTGGCCTCTCCCAGTCAAGGTTCTTCAAGAGCTGTCAGGTATCAGGGCACCTGGGTGGAAGTGTCCAACTTCGGCTCAGGTCACTGCCTCATGGTTCATGAGTCCAAGCTCTGAGTCAGTCTCTGCACTGATAGTGCAGAGCCTGCTTGGGATTCTCTCTCTTCCTCTCTCTGCACCTTCTCCACTTGTGCTTTCGCTCTCAATCTTTAAAAATGTCCTATATATGGGGCGCCTGGGTGGCGCAGTCGGTTAAGCGTCCGACTTCAGCCAGGTCACAATCTCGCGGTCCGTGAGTTCGAGCCCCGCGTCGGGCTCTGGGGTTCTGTGTCTCCCTCTCTCTCTGCCCCTCCCCGGTTCATGCTCTGTCTCTCTCTGTCCCAAAAATAAATAAACGTTGAAAAAAAAATAAAATAAAATAAAATAAAAAAATGTCCTATATCTTGGAGGATGATGTAAAATGCAAGGTTGGTAAGTCACCTGTCTCTACAACAAACTGGCTGTCACCTTCCTAGCTCCCTGGATAGTCCATATCTAAACCTTTACCTCACCAGCAATGAACTTTTCAGTATTAAAAATAACAAATATCTCTCTGGTATTTGCTTTTAACAGTGAGCAACTTGCAGTGTATACACCTCCTTGAGAATAGTGGAAGATCAAAGAATTTTTCTTATAACCTGCAATCAGCTACTCAATCAAAAACCAAAACAAAGCTTCGACCACCTGTGGAGGAAGACCGTGTCCGGGGGAACTGGAATAGCTAGTGCAGAGTTCTAATTCTCTGCTGATTAACTTTTCCATCTTGAGAAAACTTTAATATTCATGCCTCAAGCCTTATTAGCCTGAAAACATGGTAACAACTGAATGACAATGTCAGGATGTTTTCTTTCTGCTCTTATACAGCACTGTTAGCCTGTGCTACAACCACCACAGTAGACTATACCCGTGCAAAACTTCCTAGCTGTCTGCCCTCACTTCAGTCAGTACAGCTATAAAGTAGAACACATAATTAACAGTAACGTCTAAGCCAAACTAAGAACATGAGCGCTAACATGAGATTTCTGCCAGCCAGCTGATGCAAGCCTGGTTTTTTGGCTCCAGGGAAGAACCTACATGAGAGGGGGAAGAGCCTGTCCTATAGCAGCCATTTTTATCAGTTGGACCAGACCATTCATGCATAACCTACCAATTCACTTGTATTTTCTGCCTGACCTATAGGTGAGCAAGCTTGTCAAAATGCCATTCCTATTGGCAGGGAAAACTGCTAAACCTACATACATTCAAGCTATAAGAACACCTGGCATAAATTTCAGTGGTTATAGGCTTTTTCACATTTTTTAAAAAGTTTTATTTATATTTGGGGTGCCTGGGTGGCTTAGTCGATTAAGCATCCAACTTCAGCTCAGGTCATGAACTCATGGTTCATGGGTTCGAGCCCCCTGTTCTGACAGCTCAGAGCCTGGAGCCTGCTTTGGATTCTGTCTCTCCCTCTCTCTGTTCCTCCCCTTTGGATTCTCTCTCTCTCTTCTCAAAAATAAAAAAAAAAAATTGTTTTTGAGAGAGAGCGTAAGCAGGGGAAGGGGTGGGAGTGGAGTGGGAGGAAGGGACAGAGGACTGGAAGCAGGCTCTGCGCAGACAGCAAGCTTGATTCGGGGCTCAACCTCACAAGCTCCAAGATCATGACCTTAGCCGAAGTCGGATACTCAACCAACTGAGCCACCCAAGTGCCCCAGTTTTTTCACATTTTTAAGAGCAAAGCTACCATAGGAATGTAGACAGAAGGCATAAACAGTGGCATGTTAGGCCCAAATATTTGTAGTAGGAGCATTTCCATTTTCTTAAGATTATTGCCACCCGTCCTGACAGGTAGAGATAAGCAGCAATAAAGTGTTAGTTACCTTGATTTTTGTTACAATTTGCTAATTATTTCATAATTCTGAAAATAGTTAATCCTTGAACAACCAGGTTTGTGTGGGTCCTCTTAACATGGATTTTTTTCCAATAAATGTATATAGTATCAATAAATATAGCCATGGTACTGCAAATGTGTTCTTTTCTCTAGCTTGCTTTATTATAAGAATTGCGTATATAATACGTATACAAAATAGGTGTAGAGGTGCCTGGGTGGCTCAGTTGGTTAAGCGTCTGAGTCTTGACTTCAGCTCAGGTCATGATCTCCCAGTCATGAGATTGAGCCTCGTGTTGGGCTCCACGCTGAGCGTGGAGCATGCTTAGAAGATTCTCTCTCTCCCTCTTCCCTTTCCCCGCTCTCACTCAGAAAAAAATATGTGTAAATTGATTATCAGTAAGGCCTCTGGTCAACAGTAGGCTATTAGTAGTAAAATTTTGGGGTAGTCAAATGTTATACATGGATTTTTTGACTGGGGGTGTGGGTGTCAGCATAAATCACTATATATGGCTTATAATTTTAAAAGAATTATAATGGTCATTAGTAGAAAGTAATTTTGAAAGAAGAATTATCTAAATCAAACCAAGTACCATTTGAGGAAAACCTCAAACAACCGTAGTACTATCTTGAAATCTTGCTCCTGCAGAAGGAGCTAGAAAACCTCTGTAAATAACAGAACTCCACAGTGAGGAGCTGAATGTCATGATGGATAAAGGCAACCATTCCCAAATAAAAAATTGGTTTCTGTTGCTGTCTCAATGAACTAGAACTGAGACCACAAAGATTCGTTCTTGGTAAATAACAGAAGGTACTGTATCATTCCATATTTTGTAAATATTTAGTTTCTATGAAATGCAAAATACTCTACCCACCTGTGACCAAGTATAATGTCCTGGTCCAAGAAGCCAGCCTGTGTTATTTTCCTACCTTAATGCAAAGGAAGGTTCATAAACAACTTCTTTAAAAGTTCAGCTTTAATGACAAACATTACATCAGTTTCTCTTCAAAATTAGATAGACATGAATAAACAACTTCAAACAGGAGGTACCATGGTGCCTCTTACTGTACTCAATACACTGTACTCAATGCAGTGGGCCCCTGGGGATGCCCAGTGATATACACATTGAAGCAATAATGTAAGTCTGTGAGCCACTGTTCTTGAATACTTCCAGTCTTCAATGTCTGCAGAGAAAAACAAAAGTAATTTGAGAATTATATCAAAGTTGTTATGCTACCTGACAGTATTTTTCACGCCCAAACGAGATCTCAGAACCACCGCAATCCTATCTCCTACATTTATCAATCACCACAGGATATTTGTTAATTGGGCATTACCACAGGTAGTGAAAATTCCCGGGTACAACCTCAAGTACAAGTGCTACCAGTTTCTCGTTTCATCTGTTCCTTCTCAAATATTGCCAGGAACTAATGACATTTCACCATCAACCATCTCCACACTCTGGACTTCCCTTGGTATGCTCGAGTCTCACAATCTTTGCATTAACATCAACTGAGAATAATTCTGCAAGGCCGACTGACAATCTGTCATTCTCTTCCTTATAGAGGTGAGCTGGTTCTCTAACCTCTGAACAATCCAAATTCTTGCCTTTTCTTCCCTTCTATTTCTGAATTATTCTGCTGCTTCTTTCATTATTTCTACAAGCCTACTGAGAATATTCAGAACGTGAACTTGTGTTATATACACATATAAGCTCTATTACTCTGAAGTACTACTACAGGTATCAACTAATAAACCCCCAAATACCTATAGAAAAAACCTCTAACTCTTCCAAACCAAAAACACCAAAGGAATCCTAGACAGCTGCCCCTGCAAAACAGATACAGATGAATGCAGAACCAGCCATTACACAAAGCAGAAGCCTGCAACTTCTTAACTTCCTCGTATTCTCCAGTGAACTAAGTGACTAGGAACTGGCCGTAAGCCTATTCCTGCTAAATGTTTTCAGTGACAACTAACATTTGTTGAGCACTTAATGTCAGTTTCACTAAAAACTTTACCTGAATGATCTCACTTTATGGTTACCAAAACTCAATGAAGTTGCTATTCCTACAGCTAAGTAAAACAACTTAGCTTAGGGGCCCCTGGGTGGCTCAGTCGGTTGCACGTCGGGCTTTGGCTCTGGTCACGATCTCACAGTTCTTGAGTTCAAGCCCGCGTCGGGCTCTGTGCTGACAGCTCTGAGCCTGGAGCCTGCTTCAGATTCTGTGTCCCCCTCTCTCTGCCCCACCCCTGCTTGTGCTCTGTTTCTGTCTTTCAAAAATGAATAAACATCAAAAAAAAATTTTTTTTAACAACTCAGGTTTAAAAACATGCTGAATAAGCACAGTTAATCAAGAGTCTGTACCAGAATCCTGGTAGGAATGATTCTGATGCTCTGTACCTTTTCTAAGCTGCCTGCCTGTGACCAATTCAATTTGAATATTTTAAGCCTTTTATTACTGACTCTGGATCAAAGACCTCCCTCTGGCTAAGTGACAGGTGCTAGTCAGCAGGGGAAAACCTGGGAAATCACCACAGTGGGCTTCATTCCAGGAGTCAGTCAATGCACTGGAGGCCTAGCCTCCCCAGAGAACCCCACCCATGCCCTCCTCATGAATCCCTTTTCTAGTAATAATACAAAGCCCTGTTCCATGCTTACCGTGATATTCTTGATGATCTGCTGCACCAAGATGGCATTGGTTAACATATGAGTCCTGAGGGGTGCATGCTGAAGCAGCAGGCGAAGCAGCTGGCCCACAACAGGCAGCTCCTCAGGTCCAGCTCTGTTCACCCGCAGGCTCTGCAGCATCAACCTGAGGACTCGAGGCAGGAGAGCCAGGATGGAGACACAGACCCCCCACAGCTTGTCCCTACAGTAACAGACAAAAATGAGCCAGTGAGCCAACACACACAAAAGTACCCTTTCTGTATTTTCCAAAACTGAAAATGTCCTTTTAAGAAATGTGGTGTTTTCTGATAAAACCCCACAAATCAAAACTAACAACTGGGTTTCGTCACAGCTGAATAAGCAAATCCAATGAAGAATCAGCTGTTCTCCCCTACTTGGTAAGTTCCAGGAAGCCTAGCAATCAACACTTTCCTGGGCTTACCAGGACATTCTTAAAGCTCTGGTGATCATATATAACACAGAATTAGCCAAAGAACACAATAATCTACATATGCATACTGTTTTCTACCACTGAACATTATTCAACTATCATACCATCAAAAATCCCACTGGATGGGGCGCCTGGGTGGCGCAGTCGGTTAAGCGTCCGACTTCAGCCAGGTCACGATCTCGCGATCCGTGAGTTCGAGCCCCGCGTCAGGCTCTGGGCTGATGGCTCAGAGCCTGGAGCCTGTTTCCGATTCTGTGTCTCCCTCTCTCTCTGCCCCTCCCCCGTTCATGCTCTGTCTCTCTCTGTCCCGAAAATAAATAAACGTTGAAAAAAAAAAAAAATCCCACTGGTAAAATCAGAATATCCCACTGGTAGAAAGAAAAAAAACTTGGGATGCCTGGCTCAGTCAGTAGGGCATGTGACTCTTGATCTTGGGGTCATGAATTCAAGCCCCACTTTGAAAGTAGTTTATTTAAAAACAAAAACAAACCATGAAATTTTAATGCTGTGCCCTGGATTCTGAGCCTCTTCAATGTTTTAAACAGGGCAGATATGCAGAGAAAGATGTATTCACAAGGAACCAAAATGGATTTCAGAAAAGAAGCCAGTCAGTGGACTGCTACCATGTTACTAGATTATGAAAGGCCAGAAATGGTAAATCCTAATTTTAGTAAGCACCATTCCCTTGGTTTCACTATAGGGCAGAACAAAAACGTTTTATGATGAAGGTAAATG